ACATTTTTTGTTCGAGACTTCCGGGTTAAGACTTTGGCGGTATTCTTGATCATTTTTATCGGAAATTTAATTTTTCAAAATTTTTAAAAAAATTTATCTGAGTGTAGCTGAGCATCCGCTGGACCAGTCAAAAAGTGCGCCATACATTTTTTGTTTGAGACTCCCGGGTTAAGATGTTGGCGGTATTCCCGATTAATTATCTCGCAAATTTAATTTTTCAAAATTTTTTAAAAAATTTATCTGAGTGTAGCTCAGCATCCGCTGGACCAATCAAAAAGTGCGCCATACATTTTTTGTTGGAGACTCCCGGGTTAAGACTTTGGCGGTATTCTTGATCATTTTTATCGCAAATTTAATTTTTCAAAATTTTTTAAAAAATTTATCTGAGTGTAGCTCAGCCTCCGCTGGACCAATCAAAAAGTGCGCCATACATTTTTTGTTCGAGACTCCCGGGTTAAGACTTTGGCGGTATTCTTGATCATTTTTATCGCAAATTTAATTTTTCAAAATTTTTTAAAAAATTTATCTGAGTGTAGCTGAGCATCCGCTGGACCAATCAAAAAGTGCGCCATACATTTTTTGTTCGAGACTCCCGGGTTAAGACTTTGGCTTTATTACCGATTAATTATCTCGCTAATTTAATTTTTTAAAATTTTTTAAAAAATTTATCTGAGTGTAGCTCAGCATCCGCTGGACCAATCAAAAAGTGCGCCATACATTTTTTGTTCGATACTCCCGGGTTAAGACTTTGGCGGTATTCCCGATCATTTTTATCGCAAATTTAATTTTTCAAAATTTTTTAAAAAATTTATCTGAGTGTAGCTCAGCATCCGCTGGACCAATCAAAAAGTGAGCAATACATTTTTTGTTCGAGACTCCCGGGTTAAGACTTTGGCGGTATTCCCGATTATTTATATCGCAAATTTAATTTTTCAAAATTTTTTAAAAAATTTATCTGAGTGTAGCTCTGCATCCGCAGGACCAATCAAAAAGTGAGCCATACATTTTTTGTTCGACACTCCCGGGTTAAGACTTTGGCGGTATTCCCGATCATTTTTATAGCAAATTTAATTTTTTAAAAATTTTTTAAAAAATTTATCTGAGTTTAGCTCAGCATCCGCTGGACCAATCAAAAAGTGCGCCATACATTTTTTGTTCGAGACTCTGGGGTTAAGATTTTGGCGGTATTCCCGATTAATTATCTCGCAAATTTAATTTTTCAAAATTTTTTAAAAAATTTATCTGAGTGTACCTCAGCATCCGCTGGACCAATCAAAAAGTGCGCCATACATTTTTTGTTTGAGACTCCCGGGTTAAGACTTTGGAGGTATTCCCGATCATTTTTATAGCAAATTTAATTTTTTAAAATTTTTTAAAAAATTTATCTGAGTTTAGCTCAGCATCCGCTGGACCAATCAAAAAGTGCGCCATACATTTTTTGTTCGAGACTCTGGGGTTAAGATTTTGGCGGTATTCCCGATTAATTATCTCGCAAATTTAATTTTTCAAAATTTTTTAAAAAATTTATCTGAGTGTACCTCAGCATCCGCTTGACCAATGAAAAAGTGCGCCATACATTTTTTGTTCGAAACTCCCGGGTTAAGTCTTTGGCGGTATACCCGATCAATTATCTCGCACATTTAATTTTTTCGAAATTTTTAAAAAAATTTATCTGAGTGTAGCTCAGCATCCGCTGGACCAATCAAAAAGTGCGCCGTACATTTTTTGTTCAAAACTCCCAAATTAAGACTTTGGCGGTATTCTTGATCATTTTTATCGCAAATTTAATTTTTCAAAATTTTTTAAAAAATTTATCTGAGTGTAGCTGAGCATCCGCTGGACCAATCAAAAAGTGCGCCATACATTTTTTGTTCGAGACTCCCGGGTTAAGACTTTGGCGGTATTCCCGATTAATTATCTCGAAAATTTAATTTTTCAAAATTTATTAAAAAATTTATCTGAGTGTAGCTCAGCATCCGCTGGACCAATCAAAAGGTGCGCCATACATTTTTTTTTCGAGACTCCCGGGTTAAGAATTTGGCGGTATTCCCGATTAATTATCTCGCAAATTTAATTTTTCAAAATTTTTAAAAAAATTTATCTGATTGTAGCTCAGCATCCGCTGGACCAATCAAAAAGTGCGCCATACATTTTTTGTTCGAGACTCCCGGGTTAAGAATTTGGCGGTATTCCCGATTAATTATCTCGCAAAATTAATTTTTCAAAATTTTTAAAAAAATTTATCTGAGTGTAGCTGAGCATCCGCTGGACCAATCAAAAAGTGCGCCATACATTTTTTGTTCGAGACTCCCGGGTTAAGACTTTGGCGGTATTCCCGATTAATTATCTCGAAAATTTAATTTTTCAAAATTTTTTAAAAAATTTATCTGAGTGTAGCTCAGCATCCGCTGGACCAATCAAAAAGTGCGCCATACATTTTTTTTTCGAGACTCCCGGGTTAAGAATTTGGCGGTATTCCCGATTAATTATCTCGCAAATTTAATTTTTCAAAATTTTTAAAAAAATTTATCTGATTGTAGCTCAGCATCCGCTGGACCAATCAAAAAGTGCGCCATACATTTTTTGTTCGAGACTCCCGGGTTAAGACTTTGGCGGTATTCCCCATTATTTATATCGCAAATTTAATTTTTCAAAATTTTTAAAAAAATTTATCTGAGTGTAGCTCAGCATCCGCTGGACCAATCAAAAGGTGCGCCATACATTTTTTGTTCGAGACTCCCGGGTTAAGACTTTGGCGGTATTCCCGATCATTTTTATCGCAAATTAAATTTTTCAAAATTTTTTAAAAAAATTATCTGAGTGTAGCTCAGCATCCGCTGGACCAATCAAAAAGTGCGCCATACATTTTTTGTTCGAGACTCCCGGGTTAAGAATTTGGCGGTATTCCCGATTAATTATCTCGCAAATTTAATTTTTCAAAATTTTTAAAAAAATTTATCTGAGTGTAGCTCAGCATCCGCTGGACCAATCAAAAAGTGCGCCATACATTTTTTGTTCGAGACTCCCGGGTTAAGAATTTGGCGGTATTCCCGATTAATTATCTCGCAAATTTAATTTTTCCAAATTTTAAAAAAAATTTATCTGATTGTAGCTCAGCATCCGCTGGACCAATCAAAAAGTGCGCCATACATTTTTTGTTCGAGACTCCCGGGTTAAGACTTTGGCGGTATTCCCGATTAATTATCTCGAAAATTTAATTTTTCAAAATTTTTTAAAAAATTTATCTGAGTGTAGCTCAGCATCCGCTGGACCAATCAAAAAGTGCGCCATACATTTTTTGTTCGAGACTCCCGGGTTAAGACTTTGGCGGTATTCCCAATCATTTTTATCGCAAATTTAATTTTTTAAAAATTTTTTAAAAAATTTATCTGAGTTTAGCTCAGCATCCGCTGGACCAATCAAAAAGTGCGCCATACATTTTTTGTTCGAAACTCCCGGGTTAAGACTTTGGCGGTATACCCGATCAATTATCTCGCACATTTAATCTTTTCGAAATTTTTTAAAAAATGTATCTGATTGTAGCTCAGCTTCCGCTGGACCAATCAAAAAGTGCGCCATACATTTTTTGTTTGAGACTCCCGGGTTAAGACTTTGGCGGCATTTCCAATCAATTATCTAGCAAATTTAATTTTTTCGAAATTTTTAAAAAAATTTATCTGAGTGTAGCTCAGTATCCGCTGGACCAATCAAAAAGTGCGCCATACATTTTTTGTTCGAGACTCCCGGGTTAAGACTTTGGCGGTATTCCCGATCATTTTTATAGCAAATTTAATTTTTTAAAAAATTTATCTGAGTTTAGCTCAGCATCCGCTGGACCAATCAAAAAGTGCGCCATACATTTTCTGTTTGAGACTCCCGGGTTAAGACTTTGGCGGTATTCTCTAATAATTATTTCGCAAATTTAATTTTTCAAAATTCTTTAAAAAATTTATCTGAGTGTAGCTCAGCATCCGCTGGATCAATCAAAAAGTGCGCCATACATTTTTTGATCGAAACTCCCGGGTTAAGACTTTGGCCGTATACCCGATCAATTATCTCGCAAAATTAATTTTTCAAAATTTTTAAAAAAATTTATCTAAGTGTAGCTGAGCATCCGCTGGACCAATCAAAAAGTGCGCCATACATTTTTTGTTCGAAACTCTCGGGTTAAGACTTTGTCAGTATACCCGATCAATTATCTCGCACATTTAATCTTTTCGAAATTTTTTAAAAAATTTATCTGAGTGTAGCTCAACATCCGCTGGACCAATCAAAAAGTGCGCCACACATTTTTTTTTCGAGACTCCCGGGTTAAGAATTTGGCGGTATTCCCGATTAATTATCTCGCAAAATTAATTTTTCAAAATTTTTAAAAAAATTTATCTGAGTGTAGCTGAGCATCCGCTGGACCAATCAAAAAGTGCGCCATACATTTTTTGTTCGAAACTCTCGGGTTAAGACTTTGTCAGTATACCCGATCAATTATCTCGCACATTTAATCTTTTCGAAATTTTTTAAAAAATTTATCTGATTGTAGCTCAGCTTCCGCTGGACCAATCAAAAAGTGCGCCATACATTTTTTGTTTGAGACTCCCGGGTTAAGACTTTGGCGGCATTTCCAATCAATTATCTAGCAAATTTAATTTTTCAAATTTTTTTTAAAAATTTATCTGTGTGTAGCTCAGTAACCGCTTGACCAACAAAAAAGTTCGCCATACATTTTTTGTTCGAGACTCCCGGGTTAAGATTTTGGTGGTATTTTTAAACAATTATCTCGTAAATTTGAAAACTCGAAAATTTTACTTAAATTTTTGTATTTAGTACTTCTGGTATGACATGAAGTAATGTTTAGTTATTAATGTTTATTTGCTGAAGTCTCTTATCTAGTTATCTTTTTCTTTTTTATTGGAAATCTTTTAACTTTGTTTTGAAGGACTGATTTTTTTTAATGATTTTTATTTCAATCTTTAGTTAAATATTTTTAACTTTTCTGTTTTTAGGTATTGTTGAGTTTTTACCAGAATGTATGATAGAGTTTATTTGCTTGAACTTCTATCAATACATAGAACAATCGATGAAAATGGAGTAGTTTTCATTCCGAGCAATGAAGTTTACGTGACGATTTCGGAAGCAATGCGAATGCACAAGAAAAGTATTTGTTCACCTTATCATATATATCAAATTTTACGAAAAAATCGCAGAGGTACTTTGGACTTTGTTTATAACACGTTTGGGATAAAGAAGATTAGTATGGTAGTTACTTCTAAAGACTTGTCGCTTTCTGAACATCAATCTGTTCTAAAAAATCATGGAGTTGATTTTAATTTATTAATTCCAAAAGAGGATTGGAAGGACATGCTTCAGCAGAAAATCTACAGCGATGGCAGATCCTACATTTCGCTTAAATACCCTTGGACTGAAGTTTTTTTGAAAAAAATTCAGGAACAAACAGAATTAGTTTGTTCATTTAGTTTTTATTCTGTGAAATTTTCATCTAAACCTGGTTCGAACTATGCAAAGCTTGTGGGATTTTGTTCAAAATGCGGTGCTGATTTGAAAGGAGTTATTAACTTAAAACCAGAAAAATCGGAGGACACATTATTTAATTGCACAGTTACTAACAAGCAATTAAATATGTGCAGCATTAATACAAATTTACTAGGAGAATCAGTGGACGAAGCGGAATGTAGTGTGAAATTGCCATTTTTCAAGAACGGTAGCTGCTGTAAAGCTATTAAATGTTCAGGAAAAGTAGTTGAAGTACAGGAGACTTGTGCATTCGATTCGCTGATGCAAATCGTCATCAACGGTATTTCGACATGCGAGTCATTCAAAAGGAAGATTTTGAATAAGGACAACCGCATTTGGAAATTTGCACTAAAGGCTCTCGGAATGAAAAAGGTAGATGTCAGTTTATATGAAGAAAGAGCAGAAATTTTAATGGAAATAGGAAATACAGTCGAAGCTATTTTTACCATACGAGTTTCAAGGAAAGTACACCGATTGAACGCAAAGTGTAACGCTGCGAATTTGTGTGAAGTGGTTTTCCAGAGTTTCCCAAGCAGTATTACGGAATATCGGTGTGAAAATTGCCAGTATGGTAGGAATAACTCTTCGGTGACATTGCCGATAAATATTAATATCATCGTTCTCAACGGAATGGACTATCTGCAGCGTGCCGTTGATGATTTGGTGCAGAACGATATTAATAGATTACAATGCCCGAATTGTACGGAAATGTCACTTAAGAGAACGACTGTTTATGGAGAGCACTTGATTTTCGACATGTCTGTAACAACGGATGACGGATACATGGAGTATTTGAAAACCAGTCTGGCTGATCTGAAGACGAGCAACCAAAGGTCGCGACAGGACAACTTATTAATACGGAGCGCAACAGTTGATGGAAAATCGGAAGACGATGTTTCAACCATTGCAGTGAAGAAAAACTTTCCCCTAAACTCTATTCCCACAATTATTAATATCAGCAATAATGTCTACAGAATTGCTGGATTAATATCGTATAATAGAGTTCAGGAACATTATACATCTTTTATTCGCCAAACCAAATGGAAACTTTATGATGACCTAAAGGATGTCAGAATAAAGGCAAAAGATGATAAGAAAGTTAACCCTCACGTTCTGTATTATGTCTCGACGTAGTTTTCAATGCTTTATGTAATGAGTGATTGAGTGTTTCTATTGCAATGTCCATTACAATATTTGTGAATTCTTTGTATGTTTGTTTTGTTTTGTATGTTTTATTTATTTTATAATTTTATTGAATCAATTTTATTTATATTTTTACACAAATTTTCTTAAATATTTTATATTTAAGATATATAATCATAATAATATATTATTCTAATAATATATTTTTTCACTTGTTAATAAATGGAAAAAAAAGATATTTTTCCTAAATTTTTTTAATCCCGAATATTTTTTTTAATCGATAAAAATCTAAATAAATTTATATATATATATATATTGAAAAATTTACATTTTTATTGGCAAACGGTATATATTAACGTTATAAAAAAAATCTTTCTCTCTCAATTGAAAATTTTTTTCTATATTATAATCTCATCCTAAAGAATGAAGTGACAAAAAAAGTATATATCCTTCTTATATGGAAAAAATATTTTGCCTTTAGAAAAAAAATCTTTTATTAAAAAATATTGTTACTTATAGTAAAAAAAAAATGAAGTCGATTGTAACGTTTCAATTCTAATGGTAGAGAAAAATTTACAGAGAAAAAATAGTGGCATTTATTACATTTAACTTTAAATCAAAATGAACTTTTGTGAGGTTTTGATTCACTTTTATATACCTAAAAGAAGTTCTCTCTATATATATAATATATATGATGATAGATATAAATGCAAAGAATGTGGAATGAAATTAAGGGGGTGGAATAGGAGACACAAATTTTATCCACATGCCAATATTCAAGTCTCGGTTGCCGAAGGCGTAGCGCTATTATTCCCGAATTATATCATGACTTATGATGCCATTTCCGGTTCCCTTACTTTCTAGGTTTCAAAGAAAAAAAAAAAGAAAAACTAATATTCTCCTACAAAGAAAGAAAAAAAAAGAAAAAGAATAGTTCATTTCACGTCACGTTCTTGCAAATTAACTGCAAACTTTATTTATTTTTTTTCATCAAATTTAATAAACAAAATTTTATTTAAAAAAAAAATTTTCCTGCTTAAAATACGAGAAAAATTTTATTTTAACTTTGTAATTAGAAAATTAAAAAAAAATTACAACATTTTTATGATTTAATAATTTTTTTTACTATTATTATTATTATTATTATTATTCGAAACTCTAAAAAAATTATTATTATTTATTTATTTATGGGATAATTATATTATATATTACCCTATTATTATTGTAATTTTTACTTGAAGAAAAAATGATAAAATCAAAAGCTGAAAAAACAAAACAATAATTGAAAGACAACTTCTCGATGGAAACAATAAAAAAAAACGATGATTTTGGAAAGTTAAAAACATTTTTAATAATTATAATTTAAAAAATAATAATCTAAAATCGTAAATAAAAAGAAAATTGTTAATTATATTATTTTATTTTTGAAAAAATATTTTTTAAAAACAGAAAAAAATTCTTTGGAGTCTTAAAATTTTGGAGAAAAAAAAATTATTTTTCCAGACTTGAGAAAAAGAGAGTATATAAGAAATAGAAGGAAATAAAAATAAAATAAGAAATGACCGAAAGGGAAGTAAAGAACGAAAATCCTTTCAAGGATCATATCCTTGAAAAGCTTTTTGGAAAGAAAAATTTCGACAGGTACGTAGGCGTCAAACTTCTATTTATCATCGAAAAGTGTTTCACTAATATTTCATCAAAACAAAAATTATACAATTTATAATATTATTTATTTATTATTTTTTTTATACAATTTTTTTTTGTCACCATTTATAAGGTTTATTGCAAAGTTTTTTTTTTTTTGATTTTTGACAAATATATATATTTGTTAATTTATTCATTTTTTTTAATTTTTCCTTATTAAATAAAAATTTATTTTTATTTATTTATTTTAATTTTTTTTAATTTTATTTATCTTTTATTTATTTTTATTTACTTTTTTTTTATTTTTTTATTTTCTTATTTTCATATTTTTATTTATTTATATTTTTCAAAAGTTTGTTTCATTCAATTTTTCACTAATTCTCAAAAAAAAAATAAAAAAAATTTACAGCAAGTCAGACGGAATTTTCGCTAATGGATTCGAAAACCAGGTGAGAAATAAAATACAAAAAAAAAATACTTTTATATTAAAAAAAAATATTTTTAAATTTTTTATACATTTTTTTCCTATTTTGTATTTTAGAACTCAATTCTCCCGCCAAATTCGCATCAAAAATTAAAAACTGATTTTAATAAAACAAATTCTTCGACTGGAATCGAAATATTAAAAAATCACACTGGTTAGAAAAAAAAAATTTTTTTTGTCGATAAAATAATTTATTAAAATTTTAAAAGGTAAAAATATTTTTGTATTTTAATTTCTATTTTTTTTTTTTTTTTTTTTTGTAAATTTTCAGTACCCGAATATTTGAATGATAATGGAGAAATAGATGAATTGATGAAAATTCCCGAAAAAAATAAACGAAATTTTAAAAGTATGACAATCGATAGAATGGGAAAAATGCTCAAATTCAAATCGCCAATGTCAAATCAATGTAAATCAGAATCGAAAAATAACGAACAAAATGAAAATGTAGTTAATATGATTTATTTTATTTCGACAATAATTTAAACAAAAAAAAAAATTATTTTATAATTTTATGCAAAAAATTTTACATTGTCAATTTTTTGTTCTGAATTTTAAAGTTTCGCATTAAAAAAACTGTTTTCCAAACTAGATTTATTTAAATTTTTTCAATTCTCAAAATGTAAAAAAAAAATTTTTTTTTAATAATTCTAAATTTTTTAATAACAATTTTTGTAATTTGTTTCTTTGAAAGAAAACTAAATTTTTTTTCATTCAAAAAAACCAATTTTCCATAAATAAATAATTAAAATTAACAAGAAAAAAAATAAAAAAAATAAAACAAAAATTTATCAGAAAAATAATATTTCAAGAAATTGTGTCAAATCCATTTTATGTACATTGAGAAATAATAAAATATTAATAATCTCAAGTTGGAAGTAAAATTAAGTTGATAAAAGAGTGAATGCGATTTTGAAAGCAAAGTTGAAAGGAATAAATTTATTATTTATCGGTTTTTTTTTTTTTTTTTTTTTGCATTATTCATCATCATCATTATTATTATTATTATCCCATTGGGAGGATCCAAAAAAATTAATCAATTTTTTATAAACAGGAAACAACAATTTTTTATCCCAATAAATTATCGTCAAAGGAAAAAACAAATTCACTTGGTAGAGTTTTTAAAATTATTGATAAAGATATTAATCCAAGGAGAATTTTTGGTTCATCATTGTCGTCATCAAAATTATCGAAATCAACGAAAAAAACAAAATTCACAAATGATGAGAAAAAATCAAAACAAGACGATTCAATTCGTCGTGCATTTTCAAAAATTATTTCTCAATTGAAAGGTAAAAAAATTCATTGAAAAAAAAATTTTTAATTTCATAAAAAAAAAATTTAATAATTACAAATATAAAAAAATTATTGGTAATTAACCAAATTTTTATTCAGCTACAATTTTTTTGTAATTTAATTATTTATTAACCGAATAAAAAAATAAACAACTTTTTATATTATTATTATTATATTATTATTATTATATTATTATTATTTATTTATATTTTTATTTTTTTTCCCCCATTTTTTTTGGATAAATTTGTAAAAAATCTATTATATTCTTTTCTTTTGTTTCTTTTTGTTTGGGAAATCTTATCAGGTCGTTCAAAAAGTGAAAAGACACCGGCCGAGCCAAATATTCGTATTCCCAACGAAGACGAGGTAAAATCGAAAGATTCTCAGCCAACAGCGTCAAGGACAGCTTTAGCGACGAGGATTATTTCCAGCCTTTCAAGCTCTCCGTCTAGATTATCGGCCATAAAAAAGTCGACACCACTGACACACGATCCAACTTCATCGACATCTGGAATTCCATAGCATCGCTCACGTTTTTTCTTTTTTTTTTTTTTATTATTATTATTATTATTTTTTTTCTTTATTTTGAAAAATTACCTATCGCCCAAGAAATTTCAATTCATCACACCTGCCACCTTTATAAAACAAGAAAATAAATTCTTGTAATTTTTGGACAATTTTTTTTTTAATATTTAAATGAAAAAAAAATAATGAAAATTGAATTAGAAAAAAAATTAATTAACAAAAATGAGCAAAAAAAAAGATTTCTTTAAAAATTTGTAATTTTTTTTTTATTTAATAAATAAAGTGATTATTTATATTTACAAACAATTTGTAATTTTCTTTTATTAATAAATAAAGTGATTATTTATATTTACAAAAAAACAAAAATTTGCGTTTTTAATTTCTAAAAAAAAAGTACAGAAGGATCGAAAATAAAAATCCAAAAATTTTCTCTATTTAAAAAAAATCTTATTTTCTCAAAATTCGGTGACAATTTGACTCGATTTACATTTGTAAGGTTTTTTTTTTATCTTGAAAAAAATTGACTTTTGTCGTTTTTCTTTTTTTTATAATTCACAAGTTTGCCTTTAAAATTCATTGGCTATATAAAAAAAAAAATATTTCGTAAATTTCACGTCGAAAGCTTTTTTTTCTCTTTAGTATTACAAATACGATTCGATGCGGAAGCACATAAAGCTCGATATTTTTTTTTGTCTTTAAATTTCAATTTCTTAAAAATTTCCAAAAAAAAAAAAGTTTTCTCAATCACAATTTTATAGACATTAAAATTAATTATTAATAAATTAAATTATTTATAAATTATATATATATATATATATATATATATATAATTTAATTCATTACAAAATAATTAATAAAACTACTGAAATTATTTACCATTTTTGAATTTTGAGATACTTTATTTTTTCTTAAATTGAAATTTAATAAAAAAAATTGTTCTTGAAAAACTATTTTTTTTTTTGTCAGCAGCTGAATAAATTTCGAGACAAACGCACAATTATATCGATAATTAATTAAATAATCGATCGATTGCAATTTATCACAGAGTAACTTAAAATTGATTTAAAAAAAAATCATTTTTATTTTTCATGAAATTCTTAAAAAATACTCTTTTAATTAAAAACAATCGCATTTGTTCGAAGGTTCATACAATACTTGAGATTTATTTCCCCTCCTTTACTTTTTTTTCAAATCCTCAATCGCTGCCCAATCAAAAAAAATTAATTACAATTAATAATACACTTTTTTCCTTTTTTTCATCCCCCAACAACATTTTATTGGGGTTAATACATTTTTTCTTTCATATATGTAAGCCTACTTTGAAATTATGAAAAAAAATAATTATATTTATATATAATATCTTCAAATGGCGAGGGTTTAATTAATTATACCTATAAATGTATATATATATTTATAAGATTTGAGGTGAAAAATCCTACGTGAGCTGATATGTCGAAGTGAAGAAAAAAAAACTAACGGAGCTGCGATAATATCAATAATTGGTAATAATATTAATAAAATGCTGCGATAACAATAACAATTATAATAATAAAAATTTCTCGGTAAAATACATTATTTACAAGTTATATATATAATATATATATAGTCTTTATCCCCGATCTCTGAAATCGGGGAAAATTTAAGCGTTATTAAAAAAACAAAAAGAGGACGCAAAATTTTTTTTTTTTTCATTTTTAAAATTTTCACTCGTTTAGATTTGCGAAATTAATTTAATTTCGACTAATTTAATTTATAACATTTTTAATTCGAATAAACTTGGAAAATATTAAAATTATTTTTTTAGGCAAAAAAATAATTGAAAGTAAAACAAAAACAGGAATACAAAAATTTAATAAAAGAATTTTTGTAAAAAAGAAACGTGAATTAAAAAAATAAGGAAAAATGAATTTAGTAAAAAAAGGAATTAAGTAACAAAAAAGTGAATAAAATTAAATAAAGTGAAGATATTAAATAAATGAATTAAATAAAGAAGATTATTCACTATCGAAACCTCAAGCTCTTCTACAAAATTATGTAATTGATTTTAATTTTCTTAATTCCAAAAGAGGATTGGAATGTTTTGTTTCAGGGAAAAATCTAGAGCGATGGAAAATCATATATTACGCTTAAATATCCATGGAGTGAAATTTTTCTGAAAAAATTCAGAAAAACAAACGGAATTAGTTTGTCCATTTAATTTTTAATTCTGTTCAATTTTCATCAAAACCTGATTCGAATTATGGAAAAATTGTGGGATTTTGTACAAAATGAGGTGCTGCTATGAAAGGAGTCGTTAATTTAAGACCAACAACATCGGAGGACACAGTATTTAATTGCACGCAGTAACAAAAAAGCAAATAAATATGTGCAGCAATAATAAAAATTTGCAAGGTGGATCACTGAAGGCGTTCGGAATGAAGAAATAGTGGACATTAGTTTCTACGAAGAAAGATATTCTTTATGTTTGTTGTTAAAGACTGATTTGGTTTTTAATTAGTTGTTGCACGTGAATTTGAAGCTAAATTGTTCAGCTATGACAAAAATGCAGCAAAGTAATAGGTCAGTGTGGAATAAAATGCACGAGTTAAACGTTATTACATCTCTTATAGAATGTGAAGAAAAAAAAAAACAAAAAAAGTGCTTGTTTTAAAGGCAAATATTCTGTGCAACTCACGATACCATTTGAGTTCTTCGTGTTGCAATAAATAAAATTTAAAATAAAAATAGAAATTTGAATATGAAATCGTTAAATTATTATTGTTTCCTATAAATTGTTTCTTTTAATGGCCTAAAAATTGTCAGGCTAGTAGCCATCCAGCAAGTTATTCGGCTAATGGCCTATGCTATTGTCTACTCGCCGGCCATTAGAATATAAGCCAGGATTTTGGCTAACGGCCTGAAATGTCTATCGGCCTACGACATAGATATGGCGAGTAATTTTAAAGATTTGTCGCTTTTTAAACCTAAAGCTATTCTACAGAATCATGGAATTATTTTTCATTTATCAATTCCAAAAGAGGATTGGAAAGAATTACTTCAGCGGAAAACCAAAAATCAAGGCATATCAGTAACTTCGTTTAAATACCCTAGAAGTGAATTTTTTTTTGAAAAAAATTCTAGAACAAACTGAATTAGTTTGTTCCTTTCATTTTTATCCAATTAAGTTTCCATTAAAACCTGATGCAGGCTATGCAAAACTTATGGGACATTGCAGAAATTGCGGTTCTGATTTAAAATGGAGTCGTTAATTTAAGACCAACAACATCGGAGGACATAGTATTTAATTGCACTTGTAACAAAAAAGCAATTAAATTTGTGCAGCAATAATAAAAATTTGCTAGGAGGATCATTGGACAAAGCGGAGTATAGTGAAAAATTGCCATTTTTTAAGAACAGAAGCTGCTGTAAAGCTATCAAATCTTCGGAAAAAGTAATTGAAATACAGGAGACTTGTGCATTTGATTCGCTAATGCAAATCGTCATCAACGGCATTTCGACATGCGAGGCATTCAAAAGGAAGATTTTGAATAAGGACAATCGCATTTGGAAATTTTCACTGAAGGCGTTCGGAATGAAGAAAGTGGACATTAGTTTATACGAAGAAAGAGCAGAAATTTTAATGGACATCGCAAATACAGTCGAAGCTATTTTTAACATACAAATTTCAAGGAAAGTACACAATCGATTGAACACAAAGTGTAATACTGCGAATTTGTGTGAAGTGGTTTTCCAGAGTTTCCCGAGCAGTATTTCGGATTATCGGTGTGAAAATTGCCAGTATGTTAGAAATAATTCTTCGGTGATATTGCCGATAAATATTAATATCATCGTTCTCAACGGAATGGACTATCTGCAGTGTGCCGTTGATGATGTGGTGCAGAACGATATTAATAGATTACAATGCCCGAATTGTACGGAAATGTCACTTAAGAGAACGACCATATATATGGAGAGCACTTAATTTTCGATATGTCAGTAACAGATGACGGATACATGGAGTATTTGAAAACAAGGTTGGCTGATCTGAAGAGGAGCAACCAAAGGTCGGCGACAGGACAAGTTATTAATACGGAGCGCAACAGTTGATGGAAAATCGGAAGACGATGTTTCAACCATTTGCAGTGAATATTAATTAATACTAGCAATAGTGTCTACAGAATTGCTGGATTAATATCGTATAATAGAGTTAAGGAACATTAAACATCTTTTATTCGCCAAACTGGAAACTTTATGATGACCTAAAGAATGTTAGAATAAAGCCAAAAGATGATAAGAAAGTTAACCCTCACGTTCTGTATTATGTCTCGACGTAGTTTTCAATGCTTTATGTAATGAGTGATTGAATGTTTCTATTGCAATGTCCATTACAATATTTGTGAATTCTTTGTATGTTTTTTTTGTTTTGAATTTTTTATTTATTTTATAATTTTATTGACTCAATTTTTTTTATATTTTTGTATAAATTTTCTTAAATATTTTATATTTAAGATATATAATCTTAATAATTATAAATATATAATCAATATTAGCAATCTACAAACTTGCTGGATTGATATCGTATAATAGCCACAAAATAAAATGATAAAAATATGTACCCTCACGCTCTGTATTATGTCTTAACGTTGTTTTCAATGCCGTATGTATCTAAACATCATCTTGTTCACAAGATTTTTCGCTTTTTGGAACCTCAAGGTCTTCTATAAAATCATGTAATTGATACTAATTTATTAATTCCAAAAGAGGATTGGAAAGTTTTGCTTTAGAGAAAAATCTACAACGATTGCAGATCATAAACTACTCTTAATTATCCTTGGAGTAAAATTTTTTTTTTTTTAAATTTTAGGAACAAACTGAATTAGTTTGTTCCATTTAGTTTTTATTCCATCAAAATCTGATTCAAATTATGCAACACTTATGGAATTTTATAAAGAAAAAAAAACGCGGTTCTGATTTAAAAGGAGTCGTTAATTTAAGACCAAAAAAATCGGAGGACACATTATTTAATTGCACAATAATAAAAAAAATGCAGATAAATATATGCTGCAATAATAATGAGATGCTAGGAGGTTCAGTGGATGAAAAAAATGAATTTAGTAAAAAAAAGGGAATTAAGTAAAAAAAAAGTGAATATAGTGAGAAAAAAATATATAAATATAGTGAAAATATTAAATAAAAGAATTAAATAAAAATAAACAAGTGGAAAACAAAATTTAAAGAATCTAAACACCAGAAAAAAGTTAAATTAAAAAAAAAATTGCGTCCCCAAAAATACGTAATTACTTTTTTTAAAAAAAGTACCATCCTCTCTTTTTTTACACTCACACACACAAATACAACAAACACTCAAGCTCATTGATTTTTATCTCGCGAGATTCTTTGCAAGCTTTAACGATTAACGATTAACAATAGTGATGCTCATTTCAAAACATATGAATATTTTCTAAAAGAAAAAAAAGGAATATTAAGTTCCAATTTTCAGTTTTTCAAAATTGTAAAATTCGAATTTCTTTTTAACCGTTTTTTTCAAGTAAAATTAATATTTGAAACGAATTTTTTAAAATAGAAGAATTTTTATATTTTCCTATTTAAATACAAGATAAAAAAAATATAAAAATTCTTCTATTTCGAAAATTCGGTTCCAAATATAAACAAAAATATTAAAATTTGAATCTATTTTTTTTAGAAAATATTCACACGTTCTATAATTTTTTTTTTATACAATTTTTAGTGCACATCCTATTTTTTTTGTCTTTTTGTACACATCATATACAAAAGTTAAGTACAAGAATCTAAAATTCTCCCTTTTTTTTGAAAAATGGATTTTTGAGAAAAAGAAAGAAAAAAAAGTAAAAAGAATTTGTCTTTCATTATTATCATATATTTTTTAATAAAAAAAAAATCACACGATTAAAAAAGAAATAAAAGCGATAAAAATTATTTTCCAATAAATTTTTCTTTTCTTTTTTTCTCTTTTTATCTATAAAAAAAAATGAAAAAAAATGAAAAAATCCATTTTTATCAAGGGAGATGATATGATTATGGCGTTTTAAGAAGATGCGAGTTTCTTGTTCCCACTGACTCGATTTTTTTTTTGTTAAGTTTATTTTTTTTTAATGAAAGAAAAATCGATCGTTTATAAAGAGATTCTAGGCGCAACGATTTTTTTAAAAATCGTTATTGGCTTCTTTGTTTTTTTTTTGTAAAATATGCACAATTCCTGGACGGACAGAGAGAGAGAGAGAGATATTGAGATCAACTGGAAGAGAAAAATTAAATTACGAGATTTTTCGACAAATGAAAAATCGTCCAGTTTGTCATTTGTTTTTAGTTTTTAAAACTTTTTTCAAATATTTTTTTTTTTATAAAAGATTTATTTAAGAAATGTTTATGTAATTGACTTTTTTTAAAAATTGTTTTTTTATTTAAAAATTGAAAATTTTTAAAATTTTCCATTAGGTTTTTTGTGAAAAACATTTTTTTTTCTCTCTTTCAAATTATTATAATATTCTCGAAAATTCTTTTTTTAAATATACATATATATAATATATGTATATATAGATTTGTTTTAAAAAATTATTTTATTTTTTGACTATTTTTCTTTCTTTCTTTATCTTTTCCTTTTTTTTTCCTTCGTAATTTCTTTATTTATCCATTTCCCTTTTTCGAATTTTTTCTTTCCCTCTTTTTATCTAATTTTTTATTTCCTTTTTTCGAGAAAAAGAAATAAATTTTCCCTAATTTCCTATCGAATTTTTTCAAAAAAAAAAAAAAATTCATTTTCCGTCCTTGTTGAAAAGACAATTATTTTTTTTTTTTGCCCACGTGTTTTGTGTCTCTTTGTTTTCCATTTTCTTTCATATCCACAATTTGTGCCCGCGAATAAATCCAAGATTTCCTCTTGTTTCTTGACTGAATTAAATATCAGCTTTCAAAAAATGTTTTCACATTCCTGACTCAGCGATTCCCTCGTCATCTATAAAAGAAATCAAAAAAACAAAAAAAGTTGATTAATGATATTTGCGTTTCTCTACGAAATGCTTATTCGCGTTGAGATTTCATGCTCTATAAGTTAAATATATATATATATATAGAAAATCTAATAAATCTTCGTTCTCTGTCAAATTCGCAAGCATTAAAACATTAAAATAACGAGCAGTTAGTTTAGTGAAATATGATTATGACAATTTTAACATAAAATATAAATATACATTTATACATTACACTGGAAGTATATTTTGTTTATCAAAAAGATAATAATTATTTCATGCAATTAAAAAAAAAATCGTAAAGTAAATTTTAATTATTATTGAAAGTGACATAAATTGAAATAAAATGGAAAAAAATAATAAAGAAAATAGAAATTAAATTTTGTTTTTAAAAACATCAAATAGGTGAAACATTAAATTTATTTTTGAAACAAATAAAATTTTCTAAATCTATGTTTTATTTTTAAAATATAAATGCAGGCAAACAATAATTATTAAAATTCTAATTTCTAGTATAAATTTTCACCTAATCTAATTATTTCCATACATTTTCAAATATCATAAAGAATTTTTTTTTTCGGAATAATTATTTGTACCTTAAAAAATCAAAAATAAAAAAAAAAGATAAAGCCATTGTCATTTGCAGGCAAGAATTTTAATGAAGCATGCATCAGTTTACTCCAAAAAATTTTGTTCAAAATTTTTCCTTCTGATAAAATAGAAAAATTCTATAAATATAAATTTTTTTTTATAAATATAAATTATATATTTATAAACTAATTAAAAGCGTGCAGAGAAAGAAAGCGTCAGCGGCACATTATTACCATCGGAGTAGTTTTCGCAGTTCGAAGGTCACCTCTCCTTCTCATCATCCCCTGGACATTTAGTATTTTCGACTGAACTTTGATTCTTTCCTAAATTCAGAGTTCGAAAAATTGTTTGGAAAATGTTTTTTTTTCTTTTTTCTTAATTTTATTTGCAAAATTTTGGAAAAAAAAATAAAAATAATAATAACAAAATAGATAAAATAATATAACAAAATAAATAAAATAACAAAAATAATATAACGAAATTAATATTATACAAAAAAAATATAATATAATAACCAAAATAGTAGAAAAAAAATAATAAAATATTAAATGAAATAATAATGAAAATATTATATTAAAAAAAAAAAATAAAACGAGAGAAAAAAATCAGTAAACGAATTTTTGGCTATCAAATCCTAAAATCGAAATATCGAAAAATAACGAAACTTTCACCTGCATATGACAATAAAAAAAAATTCTATGTTCAAATAAGAAAATCGCGGACAAATTGTAAATTATTGTACCAAAAAAACAAAAAAAAGGGGAAAAAGCGAGAAATCACAAACACCTCCATTTAATTTGAAAGAAACCATCACCAATTATTATAGACTCAAAACAAGAGTAAGAAACAAAATTAATTTTTTTTTTTTTGTTATCCATATAGAGACCAACACATAAGAGAAAATGATCGACATTTAAAAATAAAATACAAATAATTTATCTTAAAACAAAATGGAAATTAAAACCAAAATTAAATTAAATGATAATTTTAAAAAAAGAATTGAAATTAAAACCAAAATTAAATTAAACGATAATTAAAAAAAAAATTGAAATTAAAACCAAAATTAAATTAAACGATAATTAAAAAAAAACAAAATTGAAATTAAAACCAAAATTAAATTAAACAATAATTAAAAAAAAAAACAAAATAGAAATAAAAACCAAAATTAAATTAAACAATAATTTCTAAAAAAACAAACTGAAAATTAAAATCAAAATTAAATTAAGCAAATAATTTCTAAATCAAAAATAGAAATTAAATAAAAAATTAAAATATAATTAATTAAATTATATACATAGAATTAAAAAAATTCTATTTAATAGAAATAAAATAGAAAATTAATAAACCAAATTGAAATTTTTGAAGAAAAAAAAAGAATCATTTTTAAAGAAAGAAAAAAAAAATGAAATCTCACCCTCAAAACCTTGATTATCATGAATTTCACGTGGTGGTCCAGTTGTGTCTTGACCCTCCAATACTGCCAATAAACATTGATGAATGCAAATATATTGCTGTTCAGTTTGTACCATCCAAACTCTCTCCTTTCTCATTGCCCAAACAATTCCAAAAATATCAACATAATCGGATACTAATATTTGTTGCAATATCCTGTCCAATGTTATAAATGTACCACTACGTCCAACTCCAGCGCTACAATGAACAACAATTGGCCTCTGATCAGGTCGTACACGTTCTCTAAATGCACGAACAAATCTCGCCAATGTTTGCGGTGGACTAGGAACGCCAAAATCTGGCCACGTTGTAAAATGAAAATGTTGAATGACTCGCTTTGAATCGCCCTGAAAAAATTACGGGAAAAAAAATTGAATTTTTTACAATATAAATATTTCGTTATTTTTTTTAAATTCATTTAAAATATAATTATATTTTTTTTAACGTTTCAATTTTTCAATTAGTAAAAAAAATAAAATAATAATATAAAATAAATTTTATATTCTAACAAATAAAATAAGTATTTCATTATTTTCATTTCATTTTTATTTTTATTTCATTTTTATTTTATTTTTATTTCCTTTTTATTTTATTTTTATTGTTTTAAAAAAATGACTTACCCTACAGAGCATAAATTCAGTAATACTCCAATCGGGATAGTGTGAGTCGTTCAAAATTGTAACACATATGTCGCCATAATAAACCGGAAGTGTATCAACTGGCCAATAGTGATCGCATTTTTCACGACCCTTTTCAATGCAACGCGTTAACATTACAATTGCACGACTATTACTTTCCCAAACCATTCGCCAAAAATCGTCCCTAGTTGAATGCAAAGGACCTTGCGTGACTATAAATTCCCTCGGGGAATTGTGACCCTAAAAAAATGAAAACCAAAAATTAGATTTTATTTTTTTTTTTTTTCAATTTTAGTTCAGAAATTATATATTTTTTTTAACTACATTTTTAATTAAAAGCAATATCAATATTAATTTTTAATTGGAACAAAATGAAAAAAAATTCTTTATTTATTTTTTTTTTTTTACAAAATACAGAAAAATACACAGGAAACTTACAGGAACATAATTGGCATTAATGTAATCAGAACCCTCTTCATCGTCGACTGGTTGCAATTTAAATCTGCTATGATCGTATGGTAAAATATTTGTAAAACGATTCTTTGGTCGATTGCAGGGCAAATCAGCAGCGCTAAACGGTTGATCTCTACCCACAGGTTTTAATTCTTCGAATTCTTCCGAAAATCGAAAATCAGAATCCGCTGACATTATTCGATAATGTTCGGCAAAATTCTCCACTCGAATTGGACGACTTTAGACAAAAAAAAAAGAGTTTTTAAATTTATTTTTTATCGACACTAAATTATATAAAAAAAAAAAATAATAATAAGAAACAAAAAGAAAAAATAAATATTATTAGTTATTATTTTATAAATAAAATAAATTCCAAATAAATAAATTAAAAAATCAATTTATGAATTAAACAAGCAAAAAAAAAAAATTTGTAGAAAACTAAAAAATTAAAACAAAAATTGAAAAATAATAATAATTAATTGAAATATAATTTTTTTTCTAAAATAAAATGTTACCTGGTTTCAATGACACTATCAGGCAATGATAAATCGTCCGTTACTCTTGTCTCAGTTGTTTTTCTCCCCTGATTACGTCGTCGTCTGACAATCAATCCAATTCCAAGTAATGACAACAGCAAAACAATTGGCACAGTTACACCAACAATAATTGCGGTATTGTCCTTATCTGCTCAAAAAAAAAAAAAACGGGAGAAGAAAAATTAATTTTAAATTTTTCTAAAAGAAAATAGATAATTTTTGTTAATTAAAAAATTTTTAATTATAATTTTTTTTTTCTTTTTTTTTAAACAATCTACTTATCTACTCGCTACCGGCAAGATTTTTCACTCTTACCTGCCAGCAGCAATCCTTATGGGCGAGGCATGTGCACGAATAAAAGCATGAATTTAGCAAAATCTGTCGCTACTTTACTATTTTTTTTCTTTTTTTTTATTTCTTTCTAAACGATATTTTAAATCGTTTTTTTTTTTATTCATTCATTCGTTTTATTTTTACATTTTAAATTAAATAATTTATTAAATTAATAAAAATTAGATTTTTTGTACTTTTTAAATACATTTTTTTTTGTTGTTAATCTTTTTTTTATTCAAAATAAAAAAATTTTCAAAAATAGAAAAAAACATTAAAAAATAGAAAAAAAATTAAATAAATACCAGAAAATACTGAAAAATACAAAAAAAAATAATAAAAAATCCCAAAAATAGAAAAAAATTAACAAAAAATAGTAAAAATACTAAAAAAATAAAAAAAAATACTAAAAAATACTAAATAAATACCAGAAAATACTAAAAAGTACTAAAAAATGATAAATAAATAACAGAAAATACTAAAAAATACTAAAAAGTAATAAAAATTCCCAAAAATAGAAAAAAATTAATAAAAAATAGTAAAAATACTAAATAAATAACACAAAATAGTAAATATTACTAAAAAAGTACTAAAAATAGTAAAAAAATAATAGAAAATACAAAAAAATTCACAAAAAATAATAAAAATACTAAATAAATAACAGAAAATACCAAAAAGTACTAAAAAATAATAAAAAATTCCCAAAAATAGAAAGAAATTAACACATAAATAACAGAAAATATTAAAAATTACTAAAGAGTACTAAAAAATAATAAATAAATAATAGAAAATACTAAAAATTACTAAAAAAGTACTAAAAAATAGTAAATAAATAACAAAAAATAATAAAAAATTCCCAAAAATAGAAAAAAATGGTAAAAATATTAAATCAATAACTGAAAATACTAAAAAGTACTAAAAAACAGCAAAAATACTAAATAAATAACAGAAAATACTTTAAAATTCCCAAAAATAGAAAAAAATACTAAAAAGTACTAAAAATTAGTAAATAAATAACAGAAAATACTAAAAAATAGTTAAAATACTAAAAAATTTTAAATAAATACAAAAAAATTCCCAAAAATAGAAAAAAATTTATAAAAAATAGCAAAAATACTAAATAAATAACAGAAAATACTAAATGTTACTAAAAAGTACTAAAAAATAGTAAATAAATAACAAAAAATACTGAAATATTACCAAAAATAGAAAAAAATAGTAAAAATATTAAATTAATAACAGAAAATACCAAAAAGTACTAAAAAACAGTAAAAATACTAAATAAATAACAGAAAATACTAAAAAATACAAAAAAGTAATAAAAATTCCCATAAATAAAAAAAAATACTAAAAAATTTTAAAAATACAAATTAAATACTAGAAAATACTAAAAAATCAAAAAAAAAAAAAATGAAAATAATGAAAAAATACGAGAAAGTACTAAAAAATCACAAAAAAATAAAATAATAATAATAATAAAAAAACAGTAAAAAAATAAAATATTAAAAAAGTAAAAAATAAATAATTAATATCGAATAAATGAATAATTACAAACAAAAAAAAAATTACATAAATTCTTCTCCGGAGGGAAAAATAAAGAAAATACGAATGATAATACATAATTTCTGTTTTTTCATTGACTCTCACCTGTTTGAATTGGAAAACTGTAACTGGTATCCGTGAACTTATCAGGAGCAGTGAAAGCTCTCACTTTGACACGATAAGTTGATCCCGACTTAAGTGGACCATTACAGTAACCAGGTTTATTGTCACAATTTTCTGATCCAATCGTAAAATCCTCCACTGATCCATTCTTGAACGGATAATACGGCTCCATAATCTACAAAAAATGAGAAAAATCAAATATTTTCGCAAATTAAAAAAAAATGGAAAAACTATGAAAATTATAATTTAAATAAAAATTTATTAGTAATAAATAATAATTAATATTAATAAAATTCTGAATTTTTTTCCCTAAATATAAAAAATTGTTCAATTCTCCAAGTCTTAAGTCTAGTTTTTTTTTTTTTTTTAAAAAAATACCTTAAATAAAAATTGTCCAGTTCGATTGATCAAATTATGAAAAATATCCATATTTTCCTGAAAGATTCACGTTGTAATAAATAAAAAAAAAAAATAAAAAATAAATAAATATACAAATTGGCACTATTGGCCTTATCTCACACGATGCGTAATAATAATAATTGTCCTTACTTATTTTCGAGGTAAAACACATACAAGATCGCGATCTGCGTGCGCACTAAAGAATTAACTCGTGATCAGAATAAATCGACGAATCGGTAATTAGACTTTTTTTTAATATATACTATATATATACATAAACCTCCAGTGCCGCTATTATTTTATCTTAAACCCCCATCTTTTTCTCTTTTCCCATATCTTTTTAGAAATATTTTTCCAATTTTTTACACTTATTCAAAAAGTAAATTCAATTTTCAAACTTAAAATTACGAATTACAAAAATGTTTCTATTTTTATAAAATAATAAATTAATAAAAAAAAAAGAATAAAAAAATCAAAAAAAATTCGATTTCTTGCACCAAATATTAATATTCTATTACAAAAAATCAGTTTTGTTATAATTTAAGAACGAAAATTAAGGTCAAAGAATAAAATTCTTTTTTTTAATTGTTATAAATTACATAAAATATTTATTTACCTGATATGGTGGCCATATACTGTATGCCTGAACATCTCTCCATCTTGGCATTTCAAGACCAGATGCATTTTTACTATCGTCTTCGGCGACAATTATTGTGTACGATGTCACAGCACCATTTTGATCGCTAAAATAATTTTTTCTAAAACGAATTTGTATTGTTGTACTGCTGCGACAAACTTCAGATGGCACAACTTGCGTTGGTGGTTTTGGCGGTGCCAATATTGGCATTTTTTGCTTCCAAATTACCTCGGGACCAAAACCAATTTTTGTTTCGGCTTGAATTTTAAAAACATAAGTTTTTCCTGGTATCAAATTTTTGATAATGCCACGAAATTCATTTGGTCTAAAATCACGTGTTTGCGAATGCGATGAACCCTAATTAGAGAGAGAGAAAAAAAAACAAAAATTAGTTCAGTTTTTACCAATTATTATTATTTTTTTTTTTTACTATTTTTAAATTAATTTTTACTATTTTTGACTATTTTTAACAATATTTATCATATTCTTAACTATTTTTTAACTATTTTCAAATATTTTTAACCATTTTTAATTATTTTTAACAAGAATTTCAAAATATACAAAATAATACAAAAATAATTAAAAAAAAAGAAATAACAAAAAATGGAAAAATACAAAAATTAAAGAAGAGAAAATTAAAAAAAGAGAAATACAAAAAAATAATAAAGATTGTTTAAAAAAAACAATAATATACTAAAAACTAATAAAACTACTAAAAAATACTAAATAAATACTAGAAAATACTAAAAAATAGTAAATAAATAACAAAAAATACTAAAAAATACTAAAAAGTACTAAAAAATATTAAAAAATAATAAAAAATAGTAAATAAAAAACAGAAAATACTAAAAAATTCAAACAAATACTAAAAAGTACTGAAAAATAGTAAATAAATAACAAAAAATACTAAAAAGTACTAAAAAATAGAAAATAAATAACAAAAAATACAAAAAAGTACGAAAAAATAGTAAATAAATAACAGAAAATACTAAAAAATACTAAAAAGTATTAAAAAATAGTAAATAAATAACAAAAAATACTAAATAGTACTAAAAAATAGTAAATAAAAAACTGAAAATACTAAAAATACTAAAAAGTGCTAAAAAATACTAAAAATAGTAAATAAATAACAAAAGAATACAAAAAAATTTCCAAAAATAGAAAAAAAAACTAAAAAATACTAAAAAATAGTAAATAAAAAACTGAAATTACTAAAAATACTAAAAAGTGCTAAAAAATACTTAAAAATACTAAAAATAGTAAATAAATAACAAAAGAATACAAAAAAATTTCCAAAAATAGAAAAAAAAACTAAAAAGTACTAAAAAATAGTAAAAATACTAAATAAAAAACAGAAAATACTAAAATCTACTAAAGAATAGTAAAAATATTTAATAAAAACCAGAAAACACAAAAAAATAATCAAAATAGTAAAAAAATACCAGAAATTACTAAAAAAAATAGAAAAAAATACTAAACAATACTAAAAAATAGTAAAAATATTTAATAAATACCAGAAAATAATAAATTTAGTAAAAAAATATCAGAAATTACTAAAAAATAGTTAAAAATAGTAAAGGTAGTAAATAAATTCCGGATAAATACTAAAAAATAATAAAAATAGTAAAAAAATAGAAAAAAATAACAGAAAATACTAAAAAATAGTAAAAGTATTAAATAAATGCCAGAAAATATAAAGAAATAAAAAAAATGTAAAAAAACAGAAATTACTAAAAAATAGAAAAAAAATACTAAACAGTAATAAAAAATAGTAAAAATATTTAATAAATACCAGAAAATACAAAAAATAATAAAAATAGTAAAAAAATTACCAGAAATTACTGAAAAATAGGAAAAAAATAGAAAAAGTAGTAAATAAATGCCGGAAAGTACTAAAAAATAGTAAAAAATAGAAAAAATAACAGAAAATACTGAAAAATAGTGAAAGTATTAAATAAATTCCACAAAATACAAAGAAATAATAAAAATTGTAAAAAAAATACCAGAAATTACTAAAAAATAGAAAAAAATACTTTGAAAAAATTGTAAAAGTAGTAAATAAGTGCCAGAAAATATAAAAAAATAATAAAAATACCAAAAAAATAGAAAATATACTGAATAAATACCAGAAAATACTAAAAAATATAGAAAGTATTAAATAAATGTCAAAAAATACCAAAAAAAATTACATAAAAATAATAAAGCAAAAAAATATAAAAACACTAAAAATTGAATACGAAATTAAAAAAAACATAAATGACTCAAAAAATACAAAATTGAAAAAACGAATAAAAAAGAAAATTTGTTTTTCAAAAAAAACCTGATTCAATTCAAAGAGACGTGAAAAATGAAACTCTATATATTTTTTGCTAGAACAACAGGACAAGACTGAAAAAAAAATTAATAGTGCCAAGGCAAATGGAATTTTACTCGTCATGAACATTATTGATGAGTAAAGTAAAAAAAAGAGAGAAAAAAATAAAAAAAAAAAAAGAGAGAAAAACAAAATCTTAGTCACCTCCATGCCATAAATGATGCTGAACTTGCGTATGATGCCATTTTGATCTTGACTTGGTAGCGACCATTCAAAGCTGATGTCACTTGGTTGAATATCAGTGGGATTAAATTTATCAACCCTCCCAGGAAAAGATTCACTTGTCGTGAAACTTGCACTTATTGGATTTGATCTACGTAAATAATTTGATTCAGTACCCGATCTCACCACAAGGGTGAATGTATAATTTCTATGTGGTTTCAAATCCGATATTGTAATTGCATTTCCTGATGTTATATTTTGTACATAATTCCCATCGGTATTAATATATTGCACTTCAAATGCATCATATTCACCACGTGGTATATCCCATGTGAGAGTTATTTTTGTGTCATTTAATTCTAATGCATGAATCGCTGTCACTGGCTCTGGATCTGTAAATTTTTTTTCCAAATTTCAATTCTTTATTTATTATTATATAAAAAATAAAACAAAAATCTAAATATTCTAAAAAAAGAAATAATTTTACCAATTTTAAATTAAATTTAAAAAAAAGAAATATTTTCCAAAAAAGAGAAAACAAAAAATATGTTTATTTTTTTTAGATGAAAAATTTGTGACAAAAAAAAAATTATTTCATATTTTCCGGTGAATTTTCCTGCAAGTTGGAAAATCTAATTGGAGTATATTCGCGCATTGTCAAGATGAAAATGAATAAAAAATCAGGAAAAGGATTCATAATAATATTTGACTTGCAAATTTTAATGGCACGTTATGTGGCATTGCAGTGTTGCATCAAGTGGAGATTATGCCCCAACGTTATAATTTCCATTATTCAAACAATTTACAAGGGAAAAAAAATTTTGTTTTTTTTTTAATAAACATTCATATGAAGAGAAAAATATGAAAATATAATGCTTGGTGATGAATAAATTTCTTCTTTTTTCTTATCACCTTTTACTAAACAGAGACAAATCACTGGAAAATTTTATTGGCGATAAAAGAGAAGAAGAAAATTTTTTTTATTACAATTATATATATTATACAATTTTTATAATTAAAATAAAATTACAAAAGAAGAAAAATTTACATTAATTTATTTTCATATTTCAAATTTTCCATTGAATTTAATTTAGTAGAATTTTTAATTAATTGAATTACCAATGAATTTTTATTTAATGCAATTTTCCAAAAGAATTTTTAAAATAAATTACTAAATTGATTATTAGAATAAATCAATTAAGCGAAATTTTTATTTAAATTTTAACAAAATATTTATATGAATCAATTTCAATTTTTTTTTAAATTTCAACGAAAAATAATTATATTTTCAGTTAAATATTTAAAAAAATTTTTTTAAAAAACAATAATTAATTAATTTCACTCCACAGGCAAGGGGAAAAAAAATTGATTTTTTTTTTCTACTCACAGAGACGATCTTGACGAAATAGTGGACGACTCTCGACATTTTCGCTGACGGTCCACATTGTCACATTGTAGAGCCTACCTGGTATTAATCCAGAGAAAGTCACCTTTGTATCGGGATCAGTCAATGGTTTTTCCTTAGTCGTATTAATTTTATCGCTTATACGAAATCGATATAAATCAAAGCGTGAGGATAAAATTGGCGTTGGCGTGTATCTTAATGTCAATGAATCTGGTAAATCGCGATCCACAACAACAACAACTTCCGATTGAATCAAAGGCACTGAATTTTTTAGAAAGCGAAAAATTAGTCACAAAAAAAAAAAATTTTCAAACAGGATTTTCAAAAATAGAAAAAAAATCTTTGCAAAAAAATGCAATATTCAAAAAATAATATTCTTATTGAATTATTATTATAATTATAGTATTTTCGAAAAAAAAATTGTATAATATAAAATTATTTATTATAAAAATAGAAAAAAATTATATTCAAATTTTTTTTTTATTTGCAGAAAAAAAGAAAATTACAAATTATTATAAAAATTGTATTTTTTTGCAAGGTTAAAAAATGGAGAAAATGTTAATAATAAAAAAATATTTTCCAAACGGAAAAACCAAACAAAAAAATTGTGTGTGAAATAAAAATCAATTATTTGGGGGAAAAAATAGAAGAAATTTTTGTCGAGAATTTACTTACTTGTTCTTGTTGTTAAATTTGTTATATCACTGACAAGATCATATGAGACAGTGAATATACTAAAAAAATATTTTACACCCGGCATTAAATCACTAATGAGAATTTTCTCCGTGTGAATGATATTTTCATCGTAACCAATTGCAGCAATTTCACTGCTTTCCGATGCATTTTTAAATCTTACATCATCGGGATTATCAATTGGCCACCATTTCATTGCATAAAATTCAATTCTTCCCTCAGGTCTTGGCCATTCAAGTGTCACATTTGTCGAATCAATTACTGGATTTACATTTAATACCGGATTTGGTCCTTGGAAAAAAAGGGAGAAAAAGAAAAAATTGTAATTACATATAATTTCATCATAGCAAAAATTACAAATATATTTTAATTTTATATTTACAGAATTATTTTTATTTTTTGGGTAATTTTTTTTTTTTTGAATTTAGTATATTTTTCTATTTTACAAAATTTTTACTTTCAATTAAATAAATAAAAGGTTTTTTATTTTTAACGAATTTTTTTTCCCTGCGCCAAAAAGGAGTTTTTTTTATGAAAAAAAAGAAAAAAGAATTCCAGAGAAAATACTAAAAAATAATAAAACTACTAAAAAATACTAAATAAATACCAGAAAATACTACAAAATATTAAAAATACTACAAAATAGTAAAAAATAGTAAAAAAATACCAGAAAATACAAAAAATAATAAAAAAAAGTAAAAAAATACCAGAAATTACTAAAAAAAAATACAAAAAAGTAAAAAAATACTAAATAAACACCAGAAAATACAAAAAATAATAAAAAAAAGTAAAAAAAAATACCAGAAATTACTAAAAAAAAAGAAAAAAAATACAAAAAAATAATAAAAATAGTTTTAATAAATACCATAAAATACTAATAAATAATAAAACTACTAAAAAATACTAAATAAATAACAGAAAATACTACAAAATATTATAAATACTACAAAATAGTAAAAAATAGTAAAAAAATACCAAAAAATACATAAAATAATAAAAAAAGTAAAAAAATACCAGAAATTACTAAAAAATAGAAAAAAATAGTAAAAGTACTAAATAAATGACAGAAAATAATAAAAAATAGTAAAACCAGTAAAAAATAACAGAAAATACTGAAAAATATTAAAAATATTAAATAAATATCAAAAAATACAAAATATAAAAAATAGAAAAGAAATACCAAAAATTACTATAAAATAGAAAAAAAAACTAAAAAAATAATAAAAGTGGTAAATAAATGCCAGAAAACACTAAAAAAAATAATAAAAGTAGTAAAAATAGTAAAAAATACCGGAAAATACTAAAAAATAGTAAAAATATTAAATAAATGCCAGAAAATACAAAGAAATAATAAAAATAGTAAAAAAAAAACAGAAAATACTAAAAAATAGTAAAAATATTAAATAAATGCCAGAAAATACAAAGAAATAATAAAAATAGTAAAAAAAACAGAAATTACTAAAAAATAGTAAAAATAGTAAAAGCTAGTAAAAAAAATAACAGAAAATACAAAAAATAATAATAATACTAAAAAATTACTATAAAATAGAAAAAAATACTAAAAAAAATAGTAAAAGTAGTAAATAAATGCCAGAAAATACTAAAAAAAATAATAAAAATAGTAAAAATAGTAAAAAATACCAGAAAATACTCAAAAATAGTAAAAATATTAAATAAATGCCAGAAAATACAAAGAAATAATAAAAATAGTAAAAAAAACAGAAATTACTAAAAAACAGGAGAAAAAAAACTAAACAATACTAAAAAAAATAGTAAAAATATTTAATAAATCCTCTAAAATATAAAAAATAATAAAAATAGTAAAAAAAAATACCAGAAATTACTAAAAAATAGAAAAAAATACCCCAAAAAAATTGTAAAAGTAGTAAATAAATGCCAGAAAATATAAAGAAATAATAAAAATAGTAAAAAAATACCAGAAATTACTATAAAATATAAAGAAATACTAAAAAATAGTACAAGTAGTAAATAAATACTAGAAAATACTAAAAAAAAAGAAAATAATAAAAATACCAAAAAAATAGAAAAAATACTGAATAAATACCATAAAATACTAAAAAATATAAAAAATATTAAATAAATGCCAAAAAATGCGAAAAAATAAATTATAAAAATAGTAAAAAAAAATATAAAAACACTAAAATTGAATACGAAATTAAAAAAAAACATAAATGACTCAAAAAATACAAAATTGAAAAAACGAACAAAAAAGAAAATTTGTTTTTCAAAAAAAAACCTGATTCAATTCAAAGAGATTCGACAGAGTAAATTTTCCTCGAAATAGGGTGATTTTTCTTTTTTTTTCGTAAGTGATAAGGGTGCGGTTTTGTAACTTACGAACTGTGTGGTTAACAAGAAGTGGATAGAGACTCTCAACTCCAAAACTGATAGTATTCACTTGAATTGTATATCGTTCGCCAGGCGTCATGTCAGCAACTTCCGCTTCCGTTTCTTTCACGCTTGGAAGTTTCACCCATCGTGGATCGTCTTCAGTTCGATATCTGATTGCATATTCGGAAAATATTGAATCTGTCGGCGCTTCCCAATGTACAAGCACCGTATTTGTTGACACTTTTTCAACACTCAAATTTCTCGGCGGATGCGGCACTAGATAATAAAAATAAATAAATAAATATTTTATAATTCTTTAATTTTTAGTATTTACAAAAGGCAAATTTTTTTTTTTTTGCCAAATATTTCCAAATGTTTATTCAGCTTACTGTTGTAACAATTATTCAAGAAAAAAAAAATGAAATTACAAAATATTATTAGAAAAAAAGAAAAAAAAAAAAAAGTCCTTGACATTTAGGGCGGAAAAAAAAAATCTTTGCGTAAATTATATTTCTTTAACAAATAAGATTATTACAAAATCGATTCAATTGTCTGATATAAATTTTTTTTTCTTACTTGATTTATATAATATTGTAAACAAAGGAAAGATTGAAAAAATAAATTAATGTGCTTACAAACTGCTTGGAAATAATCATGAGGTTCACTTCTTAGGCCGTGACTGATGGCAAAGACCTTGACCTCATATCCGGCACCTGGATAAAGATCCTCGAGGACAATATGTGATTCAGTTGTTAATGTAGTTGCACTTTCACCAGTATCATTTCGATTGTGTGTTACTTCAAATTTTTCTTGACGTGAATTCACATCGCTCTTCCATGATATATTTAATCCTTTTTCAATTGATTTTAAATCCTCAATTATTGGACTCGATGGACGTGTTGCTTGATATAAAATTGTTTCATTTGATTCAATTTTATTGCTTATCGCTTGTACAATTATTGAATAATTTCTACCAGGTAGTAATGCCTCAAGTGTCACCTATTTTTTTTTGAATAAAAACAGAAAATTAAAATTTAATTTAAAAAAAAAAATTATTTTATTAAATTTTTTTACTAAAGATGTTTTTTTTAAATTAATTAATTTAGTGTATTATTTTATTTTGAAAAAAAGGAGAAAAATGTCTTTGAAGAAAAATTCCCCCCCAAAAAAAGTATCAAAAGAAGAAATAAATTAATTTCGATTTTGTAAATTATTATAAAAAAAAAATACATTACTCTTGTTTTATCTGTAATTAAACTGTTGCTATCGCCCCCAATTGTTGACTCTACTTCGTGATATTGAAGTTTATAACTATCTTGTGTACTGGAATTTTCTGGAGTCCAAGAAACTTCCACCATCCAAGTTCTTTCATCAATTTCCGCCCTAAGATCTCGAACTGGCAAAGGCTCTGTGATAAGAGGAAAAAGGCAAAATGACATTTTTTTCATTATAATTATTATTTTAAAATAAATAAATAAAAGGTTTTTTTATTTTTAACGAATTTTTTTTCCCTGCGCCAAAAAAGAGTTTTTTTTTTTTGATGAAAAAAAAAGAGAAAAGAATTCCAGAGAAAATACAAAAAATAATAAAAATAGTAAAAAAAATACCAGAAATTACTAAAAAATAGAAAAAAATACAAAAAAATAATAAAAATAGTAAAAAATAGTAAAAAATACCAGAAAATACTAAAAAATAGAAAAAAATACAAAAAAATAATAAAAATAGTTTTAATAAATACCATAAAATACTAAAAAATATTAAAAATACTACAAAATAGTAAAAATAGTAAAAAATAGTAAAAAATACCAGAAAATACAAAAAATAATAAAAATAGTAAAAAAAATACTAAAAAATAATAAAACTACTAAAAAATACTAAATAAATATCAGAAAATACAAAAAATAATAAAAAAAGGTAAAAAAATACCAGAAAATACTAAAAAATAGAAAAAAATACAAAAAAATAATAAAAATAGTTTTAATAAATACCATAAAATACTAAAAAATATTAAAAATACTACAAAATAGTAAAAATAGTAAAAAATAGTAAAAAATACCAGAAAATACAAAAAATAATAAAAATAGTAAAAAAAATACTAAAAAATAATAAAACTACTAAAAAATACTAAATAAATACCAGAAAATACAAAAAATAATAAAAAAAGGTAAAAAAATACCAGAAATTACTAAAAAATAGAAAAAAATACAAAAAAATAATAAAAATAGTTTTAATAAATACCATAAAATACTAAAAAATATTAAAAATACTACAAAATAGTAAAAATAGTAAAAAATACCAGAAAATACAAGAAAATACAAAAAATAATAAAAATAGTAAAAAAAATACCAGAAATTACTAAAAAATAGAAAAAAGTACTAAAAAATTACATTTTTTCATTATAATTATTATTTTATCATTTTTTAATATTAGTATTACCTCTTTTATATTTGAATAAAAAAAATGTTGTATTATACTATTTTAATAGAATTTTACAATTAATTTCTCAATTTTATTCTTTTGATTTATATTTATAAATCTTCAAATATTTCGCATTTAATTTTGTATTTATTTTCATATACATTGAAGAAAATATTATTCTATGACTTTGTAAAAGTACACAATGTAGAAAATCTAATCTACTACAAGAAAAAGAATATGTTTTCATTTTTCGTTTTCTAAATTCAAGAAATTAAAAAAAAAAAATTTTTAAATTAATTCAAAATAATTATTTTATTAGCAAATAAAATTTTAATTATTGTATAATAATTCAGTATTATATTAAATAATTATTGAAAATTACAATTTTTTGAAATTCAATTATTTAAAAATTCAATTTTTATAGAAAAAAAATTTATTTAATTGAGTAAAGAATAAAATTACAATTTTTTCTATTATTTGAATAAAAAACATTTTGCAAATTTAAATATTTTCATAATTTAAATTCAATTTTATCGTAAATATAAATTTTATACAGTAAAATATAATTTTCAATTGAATAGAGAAATAAAAAGTAGAAATAAAAATAAAAATAGAAAAAAAGATAGGAAAAATTTTGCAAATTTAAATATTTTCATAATTTAAATTCAATTTTATCGTAAATATAAATTTTATATAGTAAAATATAATTTTCAAATGAATAGAGAAATAAAAAGTAGAAATAAAAATAAAAATAGAAAAAAATAGGAAAAAATATAAGAAAATAGAAAAAAATTCATAAAAAGCTAATTTTTAAGGAAAACTATTTTTTGAATTTAAAAAAAAAATTATTTATTTATTTATTAAGTTGATGAGACAAAATTTTTTTTCTACTTTCACTGTTGCTATCGTAATTTAATTTTTTTTTTCTATTTTTCTTTTTTTTTGCTTAAATTTTTCTCTATTAAAAAAAAAAAAAAAACAACTTACTGAGAACAACATCGCCACTTGCCGGCCAACTTGTAACTTTTCCAGAAATTGTCTTCACCACAACTTGATATGTTTTACCGGGTTCTAAATCTTTAAATTCCCATCGACATTCTTCATCTTTATTACGTGTGACTGGTGTAAATCGTCTATTACCACCGTGTGTAATTTGATATTTGTCAAATTCAGAAGTTCCATTTGGAGGATTCCAATAGACACGAAATGATGTTGATGTGATTGAAGCTTTGTCAAAGGTCACATTTAATGGCCTCAATGGAACTGTTCGATATTGTGCTGTTGTTGGTGCTGAGGTTTCATATTCTGAGACGGTTTGCACGGAAATATTATAGGCTCTGCCTGCAAATAATAGATAAGAAAAATAAGAAATAGAAGAAGAAGGAGAAAAATAAATAAAGAAAAAAGAAAATAATATTTCGAATAAAAGAGAGAGAAAATAAAATTTCTTTCCAAAGGCGATTTTTGTCAGAAAGAAAATAAAGGCAAAATATTTGAAAAAAAAAAAAATTTCAATAAAAATTTAAAAAGAAAATTTCAATATATAAAAAAATAAATAAATGAAAATTATATTTAAATCGATTTAAATTATTAAAATTATTATTTAAAAAAAATAAAATTTGAAGAAAAAAAAATATAATGAATAAAATAATATTTTTAATATTAAACTAAATGAAAAATAATAAAGAGTAAAAGTATTAAAAGAATTTTTTTTTTTTTTGAAATGAAATAATTATAAAAATAAAAATATAATAGAAAATCGAAACGTCTGGAATTAAACTTATATAAAGAAGTATTTTTCTTTAATTCTGATTCTAAAGCCACAAATAATCATATTACAAATAAATAATTATAATAATATTAATAAAATTGAAAAATAGAAAATAATACAAAAATTAAAATTTTAAAATAGAAAATAATACAAAAATTAAAATTGAAAAATATAAATGTAATGGAAAATTAAAAAATATAAAAAAGAAGAAAATTGAATTGTGTCACAGTGAATCAGAATAAAAAAAAAAAAAAGGTATAAATTTAGCAAAAGAGATATTTTGATAATGAAATGAAAAAATAATATATATATTACCGGGAATAAGACCCTTGAAGGCAGCTTGCGCTGGTCCTGGAGGTTCGCCTTCAGTCTCAACATAAAGGACTGGTTCGATAGCATCCGGAGGATCAATGCTGACTTTATAATGCGTATAAATCCCAGCCGGATAAGGCGGTTGCCAGAGGACCAATAAAGTTGTTTCATTTCGAAACCACACGATGAACTTCCCTGGAGTGTTTGGCTCTGAAATATAATATATTCAAATTGATTTATTGTTATTTCAAAATTGTCCCCCCCCCTCTTTTACCCCCCAAAAACTATAGTCAAATTTATCCAAATTAATCACCAAATATTTATTATATATAATTTATTATATTATTATTCATTTAATTAATTATTATATAACTAAATTAAATGTAAAAAAAAAAAATTATGTAATTATGTAAAAAAAAAATAATATTTAGTCCCAAAATTAATTAAATGTTGAATTAGGAATTTAATAATTTAGTTCTGTCTTAATTATTTAATTGAAAATTTGTGTTTTAATTACTTATTGAATTTTTAATTAATTAAAATTAAATTATTATTTAGTATTTTAATTATTTATTAAAATATTATTTAGTATTTCAATTATTTATTAAATTAAAAATTAGTATTTTGATTATTTTCATTCTATATCGAATTATTTTTTTTTTTAGCAATTTCCATAAAACGAAAATTGTTATTTAGTATTTTTATTATTTATTAAATAATATTTTACTGTTGTATTAATTAAATTATTAAATTAAAAATTATTATTTTGATTATTTATTGAATTATTATTTAGTATTTTAATTATTTATTAAGTTATTAATTTTATTATTAAAAAAAAATTATTTTTCTTCAATTATTATCAATTGTTTTCTTATTCTTCTTCTTCTTCTTATAATTATTATATTTTAATAATTCTTTTTTAAAAAATTTTCCTTTTAATTACTAAAGTAAAATAATAATTTACATTCAATTATTATATTATTATTGTTAATATTATTACACTGGAAAAAAAAATTTTTTGATTCAAATACTCGATTACTTGACTATTATCAAATATTTACTTGATTCAAATAATTTTTTATTTAAACTAAATAAATTGTATTCCAACCAATAAATTCTGTATTTAGAACAAATACCATCTCAAATAATAATTATTTGATAATAGTCAAGTAATTCAGTATTTAAATCAAATATTTTTTTGCAGTGTATTATTGTTATTTTTTTTGTATTTCCTTTTTTTTCTTGTTGAAAATATTAATTAAAAATAAATAAAATAAGTAAAAATTCTAAATAATAAATAATAAAAAATAAATAATTAAAATAATAAAGAGAATAAGAAGAAGAAGAAGAAGAAGAAGAAGAAGAGGAACAAAAATACAATCAAAGAAAATTGAAATGCAAATATTATTCGAAGAACATTTACTAAATATGACGAGAAGGAGTAAATGTGAAAACAGAGCTTCATTAGGAGAATGAGCCATGAAAAGCGTTAAAGTCAAAGATAATTTTCCAAGAGACGGGAGTTTCTCATTAAGAGAGAAAATCTCCCCTACCCCTCTCCTCCTCTCATACTCTGTCATTCCCCCACTCTCTCTTTCTCAAATTTGTCGTCGTTCGTCAAGTTCTCAACTTTCTGAGAAGCTTACGACGAAACTTGAGGGTAAGATTCTCCTTCCAATTTCTTTTTCTCCCCCCCCCCCTCTCGGTATTTCCCTTTCTCCCCCCTTTTCCATCTTCCAACCACCCTAATATAAATTTTCCATGAAACTTTACTTGATTGGGTATTAATAATTCAAGAACTCGGTAAATTTATGTTTATATATATATATATACACGTACTGGTAGTGAAATTTCTGCTGGTGTAAGCGACACTCTCTTTGGAATCTAAGACGGTGAATAGTTGAAGGGAATAAGTTGCTCCCGGTGTTAGATCCTTGAGTGTATATGGTACAGCATCCGAGGGAATGATTCTGGTCCAGGGATTTGCAGCGTCATTGAAACTTTGTACCCTTAAACGAAAACCCGTGTAATTTCCCTTGTCAGGTGGTGACCAATAGACAATTGCTGATTTTCCATTACGTACTGATACAGTCAAATTTGACGGTGGATCGGGAGCTGAAAGAAAAAAAAAAGAAATTTTAATAAGAATTTTTTTTTGTTATAAATACTGGATAAATATTTTGAATTTTTAAAATTGGACTTTAGATTCGTGATCAGCGATCCCAAAAACCCCCAAGTAACGAGTTTCGAGCGAATTGAATGAATTTTTAAGAAATTTATCAGCCATATTGTATCCGCCATTTTGAATTTTCGAAATCCGATTTCAAATTCGTAATCAGCGACCCCAAAAACCCTCGAGTAACGAGTTTCAAGCGAATTGATAGAATTTTTGAAATAATTTCCTCCATATTGGATCCGCCATTTTGAATTTTGAAAAATTGAGCCGAAATTCGTAATCAGCGATTCCAAAAACCCCCCGAGTAACAAGTTTCAGGCGAATTGAATGAATTTTTAAGAAATTTATCAGTCATATTGTATCCGCCATTTTGAATTTTAAAAAACCAAGCCGAAATTCGTAATCAGCGACTCAAAAAACCCCCCGAGTAACAAATGTCATGCAAATTTGATTAATTTTAAATATTTTCGACGCCATATTGAATTCGCCATTTTGAATTTTTAAAATCCGATTTCAAATTCGTAATCAGCGACCCCAAAACTCCCCGTGTAACGAGTTTCAAGCGAATTGATAGAATTTTTGAAATAATTTCCGCCATATTGGATCCGACATTTTGAATTTTGAAAAACTGAGCCGAAATTCGTAATCAGCGACCCCAAAAACCCCCGAGGAACAAGTTTCAGGTGTATTAAATGGATTTTTAAGAAATTCGTCAGCCATATTGGATCCGCCATTTTGAATTTTGAAAATCCGATTTCAGATTCGTAATCAGCGACCCCAAAAACCCCCGAGTAACGAATTTCAGACGAATTCAATAAATTTTCAAAAATTTCTTCCGCCATATTGGATCCGCCATTTTGAATTTTGAAAATCCGACTTCAGATTCGTAATCAGATACCCCAAAAACCCCCGGGTAGCAAGTTTCAAGCGAATTTAATGGAATTTTTAAAATTATTAAATAAAAATTACTAAAAATATTTAAAAAATTAATTATTTATTATTGTATATTACTATTATTATTGTTATTATTATTATTATTATTGTTTTTTTTTTATTTATTGAAAAAAATAATAAATTATATAATTTTCTTATAACGAATAATTTTTTTCTGTTCACTTTAGAGATACTCAATTTATTTTTTAATTTTAATTAAAAATATTTCAATTAATTTTATCATAGTTTATCCATTCCTTATTTTATAATAATATTATCGTTTTGAAATTTATAATAATATTTATAATAAATATAATATTTATAATAAAAATTCAATTATTTTTATAATTATAAATTAAAAATTATTAATATTATAATATAATCACAAGCAGAAATAATTTTGAAAAAAGCGCTTAAAAAATATATCGATTCGATTCACAACACAGCGGAACGATACGGAAATGGACTGATTCACATTCCGCATATAGGAATTGCATTTGCCGCCGTTTCCGACGTTGACTCGTAGAACGCCAGTATACTTGCAATCGGTTAGATTTTAATCAGTATAGAAATTAGTTAAAAAAAAGTGAATATTTCTTTTTGTCAATTATTAAATCTTCATTATTCTTTTATACAAGTGCAACACTGAAGGAAGGGAGAGAAAGAATCGTGCGAACAATCAAAACAAAAGTAAGTTTTAACAAAAATAAAAAACAATTTTTCAACATTTTTTTTTTCTACAAGTGTTTTGTGTGTTTTCAATATATTATATTCGAATCATTAAAAGTTGCATTTATCGAATGATTTTTTTTTTCGATGATAATTATGAAAAAAGTGTCAAATTTTGAAAGGTTATGTTGCCTAAATTGTATGAGTAATGAAAAACATTTAATTGTTTAATTCGTTTAATTGAAACATTTTAATTGAAAACTTTCAATGTTTCATGAAAAAATATTCGTTGAAGGGGTATATATTTTTTTCACTTCGCGCATGCGCGTTAGGTGAAATATATTGAAACATTAATTCATGAAGCATTGAAAATTTCATGAAACAATTACAACACAAATTAAATTCGTTATATATCTGAATTCTATTAACGAAATTAAATTCACTGCAATATTTTTAAAAGAAAAATTGTTTTTTATTTAAAAATATTAAGAAAACAATGCTATTCAATTATTTGAAAATCGTGATCGCGTAATATAGAATTAAAAAATTTTTCTTTTCGGGAGTGTTCGATAAATTTAAAACCGCGCGAAATCGTCTAATAATAATTATATAGAATAGGGTAGTATTTTTTTTCGAATAAATTATTCTAAACATGTTTTCGGGAGTATTCGATATTTTAAAACCGCGAGGACCGCGAGTGACAATTTGGAGGTTATTTTCGAGATTCAAAAGCGCAGCTTCAGGAGGGAGATCGGGCAAAGGTACACGCAGGTAATTGTAAGTAATAATATTTTTATAATTATTAAAAAATAATGTATAAATAATATATATATATATATATATATATATATATATATATTAATGTAATATATAAAAATAAATGTAAATAAGAATTATATATATATAAACAAAAATTATATAAATTTATAAATATTATACATATAACAAAAAAAATGATAGGTTATGTTGCACGAAAAAAATTCTTTATCTGAATCAGCGATATGTTTCTTTAGAATAACGAAAACTTTCGCTGTTTTAATGAAACATATCGCTAATAATTATAAATTTATATAATTTATTAAATAAAAATAATAATAATAATAATAATAATAATAATAAAATAAATAATAATTTATTAAATTAATTTATATAAATCAAAAATTATAAAATTGCAAAAATATATATAAATATATAATAATTATTACATATAAAAATAAAATATAATAAAATAATACAGTTTTAGGTTATGTTGCACGAAAAAATTCTTTATCTGGATCAGCGATACGATTCTCTAGAATAACGAAAACTTTCGCTGTTTTAGTGAAACATATCGCTAATAATTATAAATTTATATAATTTATTAAATAATAATAATAATAATAATAATAATAATAATAAAATAAATAATAATTTATTAAATTAATTTATATAAATCAAAAATTATAAAATTGCAAAAATATATATAAATATATAATAATTATTACATATAAAAATAAAATATAATAAAATAATACAGTTTTAGGTTATGTTGCACGAAAAAATTCTTTATCTGGATCAGCGATACGATTCTCTAGAATAACGAAAACTTTCGCTGTTTTAGTGAAACATATCGCTAATAATTATAAATTTATATAATTTATTAAATAATAATATTAATAATAATAATAATAATAAAATAAATAATATTTTATTAAATTCATTTATATAAATCAAAAATTATATAAATGTATAATAATTATTATTTATACAACTAAAATATAATAAAATTATATCGTTTTAGGTTATGTTGCAAATAAAAAATTTTTTATCTGGATCAGCGATATATGTTTCACTAAAATAGAGAAAGTTTTCGCTATTCTAGAGAAACATATCCATGATTTAGATAAAGAATTTTTCCCGTGCAACATAACCTAAAACGATATAATTTTATTATATTTTAGTTGTATAAATAATAATTATTATACATTTATATAAGTTTTGATTTATATAAATTAATTTAATAAATTATTATTTATTTTATTATTATTATTATTATTATTATTATTATTATTATTATTATTATTTATATAAATTATATAAATTTATAATTATCAGCGATATGTTTCACTAAAACAGTGAAAGTTTTCGTTATTCTAGAGAAACATATCGCTGATCCAGATAAAGAATTTTTTCCGTGCAACATAACCTAAAACTGTATTATTTTTATTATATTTTAGTTGTGTGCATAATAATTATTATATATTTATATAATTTTTGTAATTTTATAATTTTTGATTTAAATAAATTAATATAATAAATTATTATTATTATTATTATTTAATAAATTATTTATATAATTTATATAAATTTATATAATTATTATATATTAAAATACAATAAAATAATACAGTTATAGATTATGTTGCATGAAAGAAATTTTTTATCTAAATCAGCGATATGTTTCTCTAGAATAGTGAAAACTTTCGCTGTTTTAGTGAAATATATCGCTATTCCAGGTGAAGATTTTTTTTCCATTCCCTTTTTTCGGAGGGGAATGTTTAAAATTTTTACATTAAATTCGTGATAATTGATTTTAAAAATTGTTTAACGAGAATAATTTTTTTTTTTTGTCGGTAATGCAGAAATCTAACTTTAAAAAAAAATTTTTTTCAATCAATTTCGTAAAAAATACCAGTGGCACTTAGTTTAGACCTAAAATAATAGAATAAAACAATAATCGTCTAAATATTTAAAGTTTACGAGAAAAAAAAAACAAAAATAACTTCCGCTTAAATACAAAATTGTATACAATAAAAAAAAAATAAAATACGAGAAACTATAAAAAAAAAGTGAGGGCGATAAAATTTCTATTTTTATCCTCACAGCAAAAGGAAATAAAAACACAGGGGGTGGGGGGGGGGTGGAAATAAAATAACTTACGAGTTGTGATTGAGGCAGTCCATGTGAGCCAATCGTGAAATGTTCCATTACTATAGTAAAGCCAAAATTCATATTTAGTCCCTGGTAAACCATCCCGGAAGTAAATAACATCCCCAATATCGGTGGCAGCAATTGTTGTATTTGGCCGTGGATAACCAATTCCTGGACTATAATCCAATCGGTACCATGAGCCACCCTGACTTAAATTACCCGGTATTTGAATGGCCAAATCTGCTGAATAAGTAACCTGGAAAAAAATAAAAAAAAAATACACACATTTTATTAAAGCCTGTATTAAATTCGAAATATATTTTATCGATTCGTTGCGACCTATAATTTAACCTCAATAATATAATGTCTATATTTGTATAATTCCACACGAGGACTAATGGAAATCGATCCTGGTGCTAATTTTTGCAAATTCACTCTCGTGTATCACTCCTACTTTCATTTTAATTTTTTACATTTGAATTTCAATTCAATTTTGAAATTCAAACGTTAATTTACTTATTTTTAGATATATATTAATTGAAATAAATTATTATTAATTTGCCAAATTAAATGCTTTTACTGATTTAGATTTACTTTTTGAAATTTTTGTTTTTTCTTTTTGAAAATTTTTTTTTGGGAAATTATTATTATTATTATTATTATTATTATTATTAATAAATTATTATTTATTATTAAAATTATAATTTTCAATTAAATAATTAATACAGCACTAAATTATTAAATTCCTAATTTTTTCTATGTTGAGTTTCCTATCTATATTCTTGTTAATTATATGCGTCGGTAATTCACTGTTTTACCGACCCAAAATTAATAAGATTATAGATAGAAAACTCGCTAGAAAAAAATTGTGATTTTTTTTTTCTATTAAATTATAATTTATTCTTAAATTTATTTATTTTATTAAATTTATTTCATTATTTTTTTAATTATATACTTAAATATTTATTACATTTATTATTAAATTTTATTATTGCTTTATTACTACATTTAATTATTATGCTTTATTTAATTTATCAGTTATTATTTAATAATTATGATTTAATAGAAAAAAAAAACAATCTTTTTCGCCTAAGAAAAAATTACTTACGGGTCGGTAACTATGTTTTTACCGATCCATGACTAATGAGATCAAAGAAGGGAAACTCGATAGAAAAATTCTTTTATTGTAAAAATTCCATTAAATGAAATATGTACCAAATGAAAATTCCACAAAGCGAATAATTCAGTTAAAATAAATATAAATTAAAATAAAATTAATCAAGATTTAATTAAAACGAATAAATTAAAATTCAATAAAAACAATAATAATTAACTAAAAATAATTATATAAATTAAATTTTTTAAAATACGAAATTACATACAAAAATTAATTTTTATTAAACAAAATTTTGCATATTAAAATTAATTGTCATATTGTTATTATTATTATTATTATTATTATTATTATTATTATTATTGTTATTATTATAAATTTATAAATAATCGTTTTTAATTTCTATCAACTTTTATAAATTTTTTTTTAATAAAAAAAATTTTTTCCAATTGAAATTTGAAATCCTTGGAAAATTATTGCAAGTTGCTTTGAAAGTATTTCGATATGCTAATGATTTTTCTTAATGAGATAAGGGATTTGCTATATTATTTTCATTTTCCGTTTCTCGCGCGCGTATACACGATCTAATTAACTCATTTGAATAGATCTGTTTTTCGTGTTTACAGATGAACACCTCGTGTTTAATTACATTGAAAGCATTTCCTACTTCTGGCTTGAAATACAAATGACTCTCGTATGTGTAAATATATATATATATAAAAATACAGCTGAATTAAAATCAGGTATTTTGTAATCTGAAAAAAATTCCAAATAATTTAAATGAATTATTAAATTAACAATTTTATTTATTTTTTAAGTAAATTAAGATAAATAATTATTTATTTAAATAAAATTATTAATAAATAAAATAAATAATTAATTTAAATAAAATTAAAAATAAATATTAAAATAGACAATTGTTAATTTAAATAAAATTATTAAGAAATAAATTAAATAATTATTTATTTTAAATTAATAATTATTTATTTAAATTAACAAATATTTATTTAAACTAATTAATTATTTTACTGTTTCAATAAAAATTATTTTTATTTTTATAATTTAATTACAAAATTAATGTTAGTTAATTACAGTGATACCTCTCTTGATTTGTGATATGTCTCAATTTGAAAGGTTCTATCAAAAAAAAATTTATTTGTTGCCTCAAAAAAAAAAAAAAAAAAAAAAAAAAAAAAAAAAAAAAAAAAAAAAAAAAAAAAAAAAAAAAAAAAAAAAAAAAAAAAAAAAAAAAAAAATGTAGACTGTAGTTAATTGAAAATTACATATGTAAATTTTGGAAGAATCAAATATAGAGAAACATAAAAATACACTGTAACCTCTCAATTTAGACATCGATGCAAATAAAAGAAAAAAAAATAGATCAGAGGTCAAAATTGTTTTTTTGAAAAATATTGAAATAGAAAAAAAGGGAAAATACCGTAAAACCTCCCGAATTGGGACACCATTGCAATAAAGAGGTTCCACTGTATTCTGTATGCAGAATATTTTTTTTTATTATCAAAGTAAAAAATTGAAACTATAATAATAATAATAATAATAATAATAATAATAATAATAATAAAAATATAATAATAATAAAATAATAATAATACAAGAATATAATAATAATAATGAGAATAATAATTATTATTATTCATTAAATTAAATATAAAATTAAATTAAAAAATATAATAAACAAAAAACGATAGTTAAATAAATTTTATATATTTGCACCCGTGATATAATTAAAGTCGTCTCGTTATTTAAAATGCATTTAAAAAAAAAAAAGGGAAAATAATTTTCAGTGTGTGGAAAAACGTTGATTGAAGGGTCGTTATACGGAAGAGAGTGAAACTTGAAAAATATTTGTTATTTATAAAATTCGTTAGACTGGTCTATATTTGCAAAGAGGGGAATTTCGAGTACTGTGAAGGTAAATATATGCGCACGCATTATGTCCTATACGCAATGTGACTCGATCGTATATATATATATATATATATATGTATATGTATGTATATGTAAAAGTGCCCGAGACAAGGACCTCGTTAACCAGGTCTGAGTCTCTCAGTACTCCACCGGTATGTATATACATATATATATACCTTTTTTTAAACACCACGTTCTCCACACACACATATATATACATGCCGCGCTTTCTCTAGACCTTGACGGCAAAATTATTTCAGATCCGTGTGTGGTTAAATCATAATTTTTTATAAAAGTTTATTTTTTTCATAATTTTGCTAAAAAAACAAAAAAAAAAAAATAATAATTAATTAAAGTAATAATGCAAATAAAGAAATTAATTTTATTTTTGGAAAAATTAGTAATTAGTAATTAGTAAATAAAAAAATTATTTATTAGGAATTAAATTTTAGAAGTAATTAATTAGGAGTAAAAATTAGTAGTTAATTAATGGAAAATAAATTATTTATTAATAATTAATTATTAGTAGAGAAATTATTTTATAGTAATTGAATATTTGTAGAAAAATAATTTTATTAGTAATTAAATATTAGTAGAAAAAATAATTTTTTAAAAATTAATTATTAGATTTTATTATTATTATTATTAGGTATTATTATATTATTTATTTATTATTTATTATTTATTATTATTATTTTATTTAAAATTTTATTTATTACTATTATATTATAGTATTATATTACATTATTATTATATTATTTATTAGAAAAATTATTGGTTATTATATTTTGTGTAAAGAACGTAAAAAAAAAATATTAAATACAGTAAAACCTTTCAAATTGGACATTCGTCCAAAAAAAACGAGGTTCCACTGTATGTAAAAATAAATCGGAGGATTATTATTGTTATTATTAATGTATATTTTATTAATTGTAAATAATTATATTAATTATAAAAAGAACACTACATATAAAAATAGAAAAAATAAATTATTAATAAATAATAAATAAATAAATAAAAATTTTCAAAAAGGGAAAAAATAGAAAAAAAAATTTTTTTAATTTAAAAAGTTAAATATTTAAAATACTATACAATAAATGATAAAAATCTCAAGGGAGAAAATTTCAGTTCAGATTTTTTTTTTTTGATCCTATTTAGGTATTTATGTTGTTTGCATTGTGAATAATTCTCAAAGGAGGGATCATACATCAAAAAGTTAAAAATTTTATTAGAACGCACTTAGCTTCAATATTTTCCTATTTTATATATATATATATATGTGTATATATATATATATATATATATATATATATATATGAGACACAGTAAACTCGAAACATGAAACAGCTCTTACTCTCAGGTTCCAATAGTAATCGCGCTATATATGCCTTAGGGAATTTTTGTAACGGTGTTACATTATAAGTCGATCAATCTCCTTCAATAAAATGTCGTACACAAGGGAAACTTTTTCACCTTCAAAAACATAAAAGAGTGTATCTATTGAAAATTATATATATATATATACAAAACATTCTGATTCTTTTTTTCTCTCTTTATTTTTTTTTCATAACAAAATTTTCATGTGTACTTTTTTTACAAAAATTTTTTATATTTATAATTTATAAATTAGGGTCAATTGGGGTAAATGGGGACAAAATCGCTATTTTTCACAAATTACATACTCTCTAAATCTGAATTAGTAAAAATGTTTACTAATTCAGATTTAGAGAGTATAAGTTTCTACCTTTAAAAGGTAATATTTGCGGGTTTATTTTTTTAAGTTGTTATTTACATTCCCAGGATTAATTTTATGCAGTAGAAAAAAATTTAGATAAGCTTTAAACGTATGAAACTGACTGTCACCATTTACCCAAAAATTTAGAAAATTTCATAAAATTTGGGGTAAGTTGCGGAGACAGCATACACTGTTAAAAATGTTCTGAATTTTCCGTCAAAATTAAGATACAAAAGTATCATAATTTTCAAAATATTGTTACTGAAAGCTAAAGTCAATTACTTTTAACGAAAATTTGCCAAACTTTACTTAAAAATACAAAATGTTACTGAAAATTCTAAATAAGTAACTGATTTCTAAATTGCGTAAGGGGAAAACAAAACTTTGTTATACAGCTTTAGGATTTTTACTAGTAACGCACTTTAATTTGAATTAGGTATAAAAGTAACTAAAACATCACTGAAAATATTATTACAGT